GCCCTATCAGACTCTGAGTCAGAGATGAGCTTGCTGGAGGATGCATGACGAAGACGGTGATTCGGGTGAAGGCGTTGCCTTGACAAGACGCGTTGACCAGATGCAAGAAGGCGGCCTGCTTGCATTGTATCACCATGTTGCACGAGCTCCTCCTTGCTCTGGTGGGATGCACTGGGGACGTGTTTGTTGACACGCATAGCGAAGCTCACAAGCTCGGGCGCCCCAACTCCAGCATTCTGGATGAGGCCACCCTGGCTGAGCCGGCAAGCTGCCCCATCAAGCTGGCCCCTGACATTGACTTTGTGTCAGAGTCTGAGAGGTGGGAACAGTGATCTCAAGTAACCTCGTTCAGACAATTTCGAAGTCCTTCATCTCGAAGCAGGTTAATAGCAGCCGTTCTTGATGTATTTTCCTACTTATTGAAGCTCTTTTCGCAGGCAACATGTTGGCTAGACTTCTATTCTGAAACCTGCAAGTGGCGTAACCCACGTGGTTCCAGGGGACTTATTCACATTTCAAAATAGGCCCCACAGAGAACGCAATATTATCACCAGAACTTATTACTACCATTCATCGTTCAAGCCTGTGAACCACCACTGCAGGTCGGTGCTCAACCGCCTGGTCTGGCTGGGCTACTTGTACCGAGAACTTGAATTGTTCTCCAGTCACGAGCAAGGCATAGGGACCGATGCATTGGGGCAGCCAGACAGAGATGGGGGTGGGAGCATGTACCAGCGCGCTCTGGCCACGGGGCTTGCGGAAGTGCTGGCAGTGTACCGCTCTGCAATCCTGCAGCTGGAGCAAGATGCGCTGTCTGAGACGGCGCCGGTGCTGTCCACCGTCACGCAGGCTATGCACCAGGTGAGGGCCCCTGCAGAGAAGGTTGGAAGACCCCAGGATCATTGATTGGATTTGTCAGAGGTGGCTGCTTGTATGGCATTGGAGAATAATCCCAACAGCTCACCTTCAAGTACTACCGGCATGCTTGTGTGCTGAGAACATAGATCACATTGCCCCCCTTGAAGATTATTTCACCTTCATACCTTTATTGTGTCTGACCTAGGACCTAGCCCTCTTATTCTGGCCCATGCTGACAGAACGTGCCCGTGCAGTTTGAGGTGGTTCTTCCCCCTCTGGCCTCCTTGGTGTGGGCCGTCCAGCGGGGCGGTGTGAAGGGGGGCGCGCTGCTGGACCTGCTGTACGCCAAGAGCCACTCGGGGGTGCCCCCACTGCAGGCGTGTATGCAGAGGTGAAGCACGACCAGTGCCCCGCACTGCAGTGTTGTGCGTACGTTACGACGACTGTCAATAGGTAGTTGACATTGTTAAGTTCTATACCTTGGTGTTCATCAACCATAAGCTGACTGAGTGCAAGGAACTCACTTCCTGGGTTTATAAGAAAGTTTTTATGATCCTAGGGGGAGGTTTACGCCGCATTGTGAGGAACTGTACTGCTAACTGCATCTCAACAACTGGGACACTTTGATTCCGAGGAGTTCTGGAGATTGGCGAATCTAACAGGGGACTTTGTTTCGCTCCTTTAGAAAATTAAGGCTCGTAGGTCGCCCTTTCATGTAATCCACCCGTTGATTATGCTTGAATATATGCTGTCGTTTGGTCCCCAGGTTGCTGTGGCACTGCCACTGCGTGCTGTACCGCCAGCTGGCAGGCTGGATGGTGCACGGCCTGCTGCACGACCCCCACGCCGAGTTCTTCGTCGCCAGGTGTGAGAGAGTGGCCCCTGTCGAATATCAATCCATGATTTGGGGAGATGCAAAAGGCTCATAATTCCGAAAAGTGCATGGTAAAAGAATTGGAACTGGAGAGCCCCGACATCGCAATTATCTTCGTAGGTCCAGAAAATGCATCTCATCGTTGTACAGAAAAGCCTGTGGCACCTTCGTTTGACTCGAACATGCTCCTATTGCTGTGCTTTTAGGCACGACAGCGGGCGTGTGCGTCGACGCGAGTCAGTGGACACGACGGGGAAGGCAGGCCAGGGGCCCCCTCGGGCAGAGGACGACGCCATGCACGACTGGCACTCGGGCTTCACCATTCGTACTGTGAGTCCGTTTCGGTGGCTTACATCAGGCCCTTTGGTCGGTGTTTGCGTTCGAAAAGTTGCGCACATACGAAAAGGGCGTTTCCAAGGCTGACAGAGTCCTGCTGCTCGACTTTTATCTCCATTTGCAGCGCTTCATTTCAGACGTCAGCAAAACATTCCTATTTTGCACATTGTTACAACATTCCTGTTCATGTCCTGCCCGTCGTAGACCATCACTCGCCGGCGCCTGTCAATCACTGGTCCGCCTGTGTGTTGCCTGGAACGGATGGAAAGAGAACAGGGACTCCCGGTGGACTCTCCGAGTACCCCCTTTACTAAAACCCCAGCGATCGACTCAAGGGTGTTCTCAAAAACTTTGACTGTCGATCGTAGAGAGTTATATTCAGGTGGGGAGTCTAAATTCGGCTTGGAAGTCCATGTTCTCCATCCATCCGTTATGCCTGCCTGCAGCCCATGCTCCCCTCCTACATCTCCCTCCCGATGGCAGAAGCCATTCTCTTCGTCGGCAAGGCGGTGCGCGTGCTGCGCCACCCGAGCGTCTCCTTCACCAGCCAGGCCGTACCCCCCCTCCAGGCCGCACCCCCCCTCCTCCTCCGCTCCAGCGGGGGCACTCCCTCCCGGCGCATCGCGTCCCCCGCCCCCCCTGCCGCGCACTCCCCCTCCAAGCTGCGGCTGCCCAGCGCGGGCTACCAGGGCCCCGAGCTGCTGCCGCAGGCGGAGGCCGACAAGTACGGCGCGCGCATCCGTGAGCTGCAGGCTGCGCCCGTGTTCCATCGGCCGTCCCTCGAGAAGGTCGTGCACACCGTGCGCGCGGGCGCGGCGCACCACCTCTGGCAGGTAAGCCGCAGCAGACAGGGAATATTCAAAAGCATAATGGCGCTGGCTCTGTCCGGCGTAGAAGGCTGGCGGCCCACGTCTTCTAGAACCTTTTCAACGGGCGTGTTTGCGAGCAACAGGCGTCTGGTTGCACATAAGCGAAGGGCAGCAGCCGTCTGTACTGCCCGTTCGGAACATTCCGTAGCTGTCGAAGCAATCTGTAGCAAGCCCAGGGGCTTTGATGTTCGATGGGCGTCGAGGCTCAAGTATGAACAGCCGTTGGTTCAAAAGATTCCCCCGGGCCGATTTTCGCACACGCTTTCTGATGCGCTGCTCTGTGGCAAGTGCGCCCCTTTCTTACCCGCTTGTGATCCTGTGGCGTGTGTCGCAGCTGCTGGTCGTCCATGCTGACGTCCGCGGCCACCTGCGCGCTCTCAAGGACTACTTCTTGCTGGCCAAGGGCGACTTCCTGCAGTGCTTCCTCGAGGAGAGCCGCGCCCTCATGCGCCTGCCCCCGCGCCCCACCACCGCCGAGGAGGACCTCCGCGTGCCCTGGCAGCAGGTCGGCGCGTGTCCCGCTTTAAGGGACTTCCTCCATTTGTGCTCCCTATGTCGCATGCCTTCGGATAGGGGCTTTGCGGGAGTCCTATGACCAACCGACATTTTCTGCACGGCCGCCTCTGGTTTGACTCTGTTGGGTCGTGCAGGCGGCCTCCAAGACCATCAACGAGGACGACGTCTACTTCCAGCGGGTCAGCGTCAGGTGAGGGGACCGTGACGCTCATCGCGGCGGAGCCATCTGACCGCCAACCTTACTAGACTCTTCTGCTGTTGTCGCTTATCAATATTATGAATTTGAGTTTCTGCTTTTTCTGACTTGGAAGAAGGGCGAGAAGCCTTTTCTCGGGCTTGCTTCGACTCTTCTTTGCGCACTTTTGCGCAGTGGTCAAGTACAATCAAACACTCTGTGGTGTCGTGTTTTGGAGTGCGTGGATATCTTCCAAGTCGCCAAGTTTTGGCCATGCCAGGTTGCCAGGCCTTGCTGCTGCCACCGTTGCGGCCGGCACTGCGGGGGCAGGGGCCCTGCGCCGGCTGTCCGGTGCCAGCAGCGTGGGCAGCCCCGGGCCTGGGGGCGCGGCTGAGGGCGGCGGGACGGGGCCCGACGGCTGGGACGCGCTGGCGCTGCAGTACCACGTGGAGTGGCCGCTGCAGCTGCTGCTCACGCCCGAGGTGCTCGCCAAGTGAGGCCCGCCGTAAGGGCGCGTACGTTCGAGCGCTTCGTAAAATGAGTGGCGCGGAAAGCGTAGGCCGATATGAACGCTGTTGAGAGGCACAAGCCTTTTTTGACCGTCCGTAAAACTTGAGGGGGTTCGCCAACTCAGTGCGCAATAATCCGAAGCATTTTGGAATTTGCCGATTCTATCATATGGCAAAGCGGACCCGTTACTGGACCGAATGCCAAGATCAGTGGCGGAGCTTATGCTTTTCGGATTTGGTGCATACGAAGCCCACCGTTTATCTCCTTGTTGTTGCACCGGGTGTCTGATTGCCAATTCTCGGTTGCCAGGTACAAGAGCGTGTTCCAGTACCTGGTCCGGCTGAAGCGCGTGCAGCTCGCGCTCGAGTCCGCGTGGGCCACGGCCATGCAGCGCGACAAGGCCGACACCGCCGCCCTGCTGCGCCCGCACGCGGCGCTCCCGCCCGGCGCGCGGCAGGCGGCCGCGGACCGGCAGCGCGGCCGGCGCACCATGTGGCGCGTGCGGCAGCACATGAGCTACCTCATCACCAACCTCCAGTTCTACATCCAGGTCAGCACTGCGGCGAGCGGGCGAGCTTTCGTAGCCGGCGCTTGACAATGGGTTTGTTTGGACTCAAATCTTGGGGTGTACAATGTCTCTCCAGCATAAAGCTCGTGTGAGAGCGTAACTTTCATCGGTGTGAGAAGCTCTGCCTCATGGAAACGGGAGCAGATCGATCACGGAAATCAATGCGCAATTTTCGCTCGACTGTATGCGGATCAATAAGAAGCTGGAGCAAGCTCGCTATTGCATCGGCTTGGGGCTTCTGTTCTGCGCTTGTGGGAGTCTGACGCGTTGTTCCGCTGGCGGCCCAGGTGGACGTGATTGAGGCGCAGTATGCGGTGCTGCAGGAGCGGATCGAGGCCTCCAAGGATTTTGAGGACCTCGCGCGCTTCCATCAAGAGTCAGCGCCCCGCATCCTCTTGTGCCAAGTCTCATTTTCCCTGCGGCAGCCTTTGACCGTATGGTGCTGAATTTGACGTGTCTGCACTGAGCAATCCTTCCCGTGCTCGTCACAGTCTTCAAGCTCAGCTACCTCAAGAATCTGCTTGCTTCGTTTCACTCTCAAGTCAGTAGCAGACTTCAACATTCACTACTTTAAAAAATCAGCGAAAATTTTCTTTCCAGTTCAGATGACGGGATGACCGATTGTGAATCCACCCCCTGACGCCAACCCCCCCCCCGCCCGCTGTCTGCCGCAGGTACTTGCTGGCGCTGATGTCGCAGTCGTTCTTGGACGTGGGCAGCATCTGGCGCATCCTGGACGGCATCATGGCGCTCTGCTGGCAGCTTGCCGGCCTGCTCGACCACGATGACGTCACCGGCGGCGGGCTGGACGGGATCGCGGAGGAGTTTGCGAAGCGCAGCAACTCGCTGTACACCATCCTGCGCAGCCCCAAGCTGGCGGGCAGCCAGCGCGCGCCCTTCCTGCGCCAGTTCCTGCTGCGCCTCAACTACAACTCCTTCTTCGAGGTGAGGGCCCCGAGCGACGCTGCGCGGTCCCGTGTGTTGACTCTCCATGAACAATAGCATGCACGTTACACCGCGCGAAAGGCTACGTTCGAGAATGACATGCCTTGTCTACCCATAAATGATCAACCCTGAGGCCTACTCTGGCGACGCCCAAGGACTGATGTTGTCGTACAAGAGAAGTAAGTTCACGGCACCGAGGAGTAATCCTCGTGCTTTGGGTATGCCGACAAGGGGGGCAAGGGCCGAGAGGCTCTGGAACCTGGCGGGAAATCACTTTTGCTCAAATGCACTGATCTGATGCTGATAAACGCGGGTGGTGAAGAGCCTGCCACCAAGCCATGTCTGAAGGTAGATTTGGGGAATGAAAGTGGCTCGTCGATTTGCTTACAGGCCACTGCTCGAGGAGCGATTGGGCTCCTCCGGCCAAGGACGGCGAGCTTCACAGCTCCGCAACGATGAGCCGACGTCCACAACGAGCGATCCAAACCTTGAGCCGGCGTCTTGTTGGAAGCCAGGAGCAAAGGCGTGCCGGAAAAGCTGCGGTATAGTGAACAGAACTTTGGTCGAGATCATATAAACCCTATCGAATAAGTTAGTGCGTCTAGTATCGGTGTGCGTGACAGCCGCGCAGCGCCAGTGGCATAATGTTCACTTAAGCCAGTCGAATTCAGCACCACCGCTGAAGCATCTTGCCGGCCTCAATGTTATCTTTAATTCTGCCTGCTTGGAATGATGCATTTCAAACCATTCGATTCTATCAACTTAGCTAGGTGCAAGTAGGATGAAAATGACATTGTGCGCAAGCCTGACGGTTCAGTTCCTTGTGTCCCACCATTGTCAGCGTGCTCATGCAGTAGTCATGCATGCAACGAATGCTTGTAACATGCAAATCATGGCTCATTTTGGCATGCGTATAATAGGATGCTACATGCCAGTTCGACCTTGATGCACTACGTACTGGCCCACATGCATTATACAATGACAGCTAAAATTTTTCTGATCATTGCATTGCCCTCAGTGTATACGTCACACTGATCGAACGTGTGCCAGCAACATGTACAGCGCAATGTATACAGAAGGGCCGGCCCCGCCATATGAATTGCCCTAGCTGCGCGCAGCGCCCGGCCCCCGTCCATGTACGTGGTCTCTTATATAATACGCGTATACGATTTCAAATTTTGGGGGAACTTGTTCATGCGCGTTCAGCTAGGCACATAGGCGGCTGCGCGCGCCGGCGCATGAGGGCACTATATAAGCCGTACGGGCACCATCCGGCCATGCATGGTTGATTTGCAATGGTACATTGAATTACCCGGCGTATCCGACTCATGGCAGGAGCTGCTTGGGCATGAGCTGCGATCAAGTGCCTTCAGAAAGGCAACTTATCCGCAAACTTGAAACCAAGGCCGCCCGGCCCGAAATGATGCACTGGTCGCCGGCCGTCGGAGCGGGCCTCCATGGATTAATCAACGGCATCAGAGCTCCTTGTGCGAGCTCTTGCAAGAGCTCGCACAAGGACTCGCACAAGGAGCTCTCATGCCGTTAATTAACGTCGAACTCAAATTTGGTTGAAAGCCTGACACCCACGGGCCTTACCCAGTTAATATCTCCAACGAGAAGCATCTGCTTTTCGGAATCCATACAACAACGTCACCACATGCCCTATAGTATTCCGCAACACATTGTCTTTCTGGGCAGACTTTACCTTAAACCGTACGGACGTCCTCACAAGAAGTACTTGCCAGGCTGAATGGGCTGGGCGGACTGGCCCGCCACCGCTGCCTCGAGCAATTTTCTGATCTCTTGCCGAGCCTTCTTGACGGAGCTTTCCGTAGGCCCCTCGATGAACAAGTACAGCTTCCGATCCGTCGGCCCCGGCTGCTTCCCAGGGGGGAAGTACTGCCCGCGCGTCGTAATGGCGACCCCCGTGAAGTCGCTGATCTGGCCCAGGTTCTCCTTGTGGGTCGCCTTCCAGCGCGCGTGCTGCGGGAACTCGTTAATCTCCACCTCCGCCTCATACGTGTCCGCACCCCCGACCTGCGCCTGGATTTTGGCCAGCGTCTCCTGCAGATTGATAGCCGCCTGTGCCGCCGCCGCGCGGCTTGCATCGTCCGTTGCGCTGGCCATCAGGTTCGCCGTCAGCTGCTGCAGCGTCTGCGCCGGCTGCTGCCCCACCGGCAGCCCGTGCTGCGCTGCAATTTGCGCCGCCTTGGCCTGCGCCGTTGCGATCGCCATCGCCAGTGCGGGGTTGCTAGCCGCGGCCGCCAGCGCCTCCGCCGACGGCCCGGCCACGGGCGCCCCCTCAGCGGCCTTGGCGCTCTCTGCGAGCTGCCGCGCGCGCTGTGCGGCGTCGTCGAGCGTGCCGCTCTTACGAATCACGCCGCCGTCGTCATCCTCCCCGTCGCTGTCGCTCTTCTCCTCCTCGAAGCCGTACTCGCGCGCCTGCTCCTTGCGCACGCTCTTGCGCGCCTCCTCCTCCTCCGCGTCGAACTTGAAGCCCGACCCGCCGAAGCCGCTCCCGTGCGTCTGCTCCGTCCCCGCCTTCACCTTGGCCAGGAAGCCGTCCGCGAGCGCCTTGAGGTCCGCGGGCACCGCCGCCTCGCTCAGCTGCAGCGCCTTGACCAGGTCCGGCGCGTACCGCTCCTCGTCCTCGCTGATGAACGTGATGGCGGTGCCCTTGTTCCCAGCGCGGCCCGTGCGCCCGACGCGGTGCACGTAGTCTTCGTAGTGGTTGGGCACGTCCATGTTGACCACCAGCTGCAGGTCCTTGACGTCCAGCCCGCGCGCGGCCACGCTGGTGGCCACCAGCAGGCTGCACACGTCGGCCTTGAAGTCGGCGAGCGTCGACTCGCGGTCCTCCTGGTCTTTGCCGCCGTGCAGGCTCAGGCACGGGTAGCCCGCCTTGAGCAGCTCGCGGAAGGTCGCGTCCGCCTTCTCCTGGCTGTGCACGAACACCAGGATCTTCCCGCGCTCATACCACTCGCCCAGCAGCTCCAGCAGGCGCGGGAAGCGCTGCTCCTCCGGCCGCAGCTCCACGCTCTGCGCAATGTCCTTGTTCACCACGCTGCGCCCGCCGATCTGCACCTCCACCGCGCGCCCGCTCAGCACCTTGCGCGCCAGCGTCTCCACGCTGCGCGGGAACGTGGCGCTGAAGAGCACCGTCTGGCGGTCGGGGCGCGTGTTGCCGATGATGCGCGTGATCTGCGGCTCGAAGCCCATGTCGAACATGCGGTCCGCCTCGTCCATCACGAAGTACGTCACGCGCCGCAGGTTCGTCACCTTGCCCGTGCACAGGATGTCGATCATGCGCCCCGGCGTGCACACCACGATCTCCGCCCCGCGCTTGAGCGAGCCGATCTGGTCTGCCACCCCGGACCCCCCGTACACCGCCACCGCGGTCAGCCCGAGGGAGCGCGTGAAGCGGCGGACGTCCGCGTGAATCTGCTGCACCAGCTCGCGCGTGGGCGCCATGATCATGGCGATCGGCCCGTCGCCGGGCGCGAGCGGGGGCTGGTCCAGGATGTGGCGCAGCATGGGCAGCACGAACGCGAGCGTCTTGCCGGAGCCCGTCTTGGCGATGCCGATGAAGTCGCGGCCGCTCATGATGACGGGCAGCGCCTGCGATTGGATGGGCATCGGCCGCTCCCACCCCGCCTTGCGGATGCAGTCCAGCACCTTGGCGGACAGGCCCGCCTGCGTCCACGCCTTGAGCGGCTTGGGCACGTCTTTCCCGCGCATCTTGATGTCCCCCAGCTCGTGGCGGTACTCCGCCACCTCGGCCGCCGTCATGCGCGCCAGCTCCTTCACCTCGATGTAAAAGTCCTTGCGGAAGGGCGGGTAGTCGATCTTGCTGTGGTCCACCACCCCCATCTTCTCCACCTTGCTCGCGCGCTTCAGCGTCTTCAGCATGTCGTCCTCGTCGTCTGACCCCCCCGCCTCCTCATCCGACGCGCCCGACCCCCCCTCGTCCTCGCTGCCCTCGCCCGGCAAGATGCGCCCCAGCTGCGGGGCCGCCTTCTTGGCCTTCCCGCCCCCAACGCCATTGGCTGCAAACCTGCCCACCGGCCCCTGAGCGCGCAGCATCCCAAATGCGATGCCACCCGCCTTCTTTGGCAGCAAGCCCCCCCGCACCGCCGCTTTCGGGCCGACCAGTGGCTTCTCGTCGGCCTCCTCCTCCTCTTCTTTCTTGACTGGCCGCAAGGGGGGCAAGAAGTCTTGCTCTTCTTCTTTCTTGACTGGCTGCAACGGGGGCAAAAAGTCTGGCTTCTCGTCTAACTCGGGCTCCATCTTAACGTCGGCCCCCTCCTCCTCCTGCTTGGCTGCCCCCTCCGCCTCGCGCTGCTCCAGCTTCTGCACCTCGGGCAGCACCTCCGCCGCCATGAATGCGTCCAGCGGGTCAACCTCCTCAGCAGCAGCAGCGTCAGATGTGCCTGCAAGAGGGGGAAGGCAATCAGACACTGGCAGCAAACAACAAACCGCCCAATCCCTGATGGCCAACTTGATGTAACTTGCAGCACCTCATGCCGCTTGTCAAGAAGACTCCACACTCAAATTGTATGAAGTAAACAAGAGCTAGCACTAACCACCTTACAATCATTTCGGAAAGAATGACAAAAAGATCACGGAACGTTTTAGAGGCCATGATGGCAAAGCAGAAACGAGCCCCGTCCTTGAGTGGGTGGAAACCTATTGCACAGGGTTAGATTGCCAAGGTGAGTCGTGTCACAGCAGCAGCTACTCCCAACAGACCCGGAGTGTCCTTTGCATACAAGAAGGCCTTCCTTGAGGGAGCCCTGGCGCTTCTTGCCAATACAACGGGGCAAACGACATGTGTACATGCTCACCTTGCTGCTTGGCGGTGTCCTCGTCATCGTCTGCCATGCCGTGCAGCTCATCGTCCGAGTCCCCGTCTAGCGTCCACTGCGGCGCCTTCTTGTCCTTGCCTGCCCCCTCGCCAGCTTCCGCCTCTGCTGGGTCATCCGCCCCGCCCTGCTCACGCCGGCGGGCCTGCAGACAGAAACGCAGCTGGAATTGAGAGGTATGTCGATAAAACAATCATCCAATGTGGGCTTTCTCCCCCTAAAAGTAATCAGTGGAATTCGAGACCAGGGTCAACTTCATTGCAATAACAGCATCTATATCGAGCCTCAGGCCTTCTTTTGCTGAAGCTTTCGCCCCCGCATTGCCCAACTTACAACAATAACATCTGCTATCTTGGTTAAGCACGGCATAAGCTGTAAAAGTGCCCAGCTTTCAGCAGCAGAAACCAGCACAGATACCCTTTTGCAGCCGCCTTAGTACACTAATTCTCAGCCTCTCCAGATTTATCACCAAATTGGTTTCTCCTTGATTTAATCAAGCAGGCGCTGCACCGGGCCGTTGTTTCTTGTCGATGGCAAAAATGCCTCACCTGCCATTGCTCCACCCTCTTGCGGCGCTTCTCTGCCTCGTCCTCTAGCCGCTGCCGCTCCTCGTCCTCTTCTGCCTCCCTACCCCCTTCCTTGCCCGCCTTCAGCTCCGCGAGCCGCTCCTTGATCTTCTCCTGCCGCCGCCGCTTTCGCTCTGCCTCATCATCGCCCTCATCCCGATCGCCGTCCCGCTTTCTGCTCTCGTGCGGCCTCTCATCCCTGCCCCGGTCCCTGTCCCTGCCCCGGTCTTTCTCGCGCGCGTCCGGAGTTCGGCGCCGTCGCTCGTCTTCCCTGTCCCGGCCGCGCCCTCGCTCATCGTCGCGGCGCCTTTCGCGCCCACGATCCTCTTCCCGCTCGCGCTTCACGTCCCTCTCCCTGCCTCTCTCTTTCTCTCGGTCCTGATTCCTGTCCCTCCCTCGATCTCGATCCCGGTCCCTGTCCTTCTCTCTGTATCGTTCCGTCTCCTTCTCCTTTCCTCGGCCCCTGTCCAGCTCTTTCTCATCCACCTTCAGCCTCTTCCCCTCGGGCTCCTCCGGTGACGGCCTCCTTGATCGCTCTTTGTTCTGGCCCCGATCGCCCTCTCTCCCATCGCCCTCCCTCTTCCTGCCATCATCTTCCCGACCTTCCTCTCGTCTGCTCTCCTTTCTGACGCGGTCATGATCCTTTCGCCGCTCTGTACTCTGCTCCTCTCCCTCCCCTTCCTTTGCACGGTGGTGTCGTTCCCTTCCGTGCTCTTTCCTCCTCTTGTGATCTGGCGGAGAAGCAGGCACTGCATCAGGATCAGCATACGCCCGGTTTTGCTTCTCTGAGCGGGCCCCATCGCTACGTGCATCAGGGTCATGCTTCCTACGCGGTAACCCGTCCAACAAGTCCGCGGCCATGCCCCCACCTCCCTCCTCCCTGCCCCTTACCCCGTTCCTTGCCTCGCTCACACTTTCTCCGCCACCTCGGCCTGAGACGTGGCGTTCCCTCTCTCTCTTCCTGCGGCTCCTTCCCTCCAACTCATTGTCGTCTCCAGCTCGATCGACCTCCATGCTTCTGCGTCTGGGGGCCTCCTCAGGCTGTGAATTGAAAGTGGAGAAGGCACCTACCAAGCCTAAGGGCCTAAATTTTCTTTCTGACCTCAGCGCGCTTTCTGCTCGTCGTGCTCGAATGCACAAGAGCAGGCGGGCAATTCTTACAATTCAATGAAGTGTTTCATGCATGAATTTCGGAGGGGAGGCCCAGCCATTACCATCCTCGGCTGGCCCATTACCACCTCCCTCCAGCAGGTCGTCCACGTCTAGTTCTGTCGGACCAACAAGGTGGCACACTAGCTTTCCAAATTCCATGCCATTGCAGGGCATTGCAATTTGCAGGCGCTGCAAGCCTGCAATTCTCCATTCGCATTGGCATCAGGGAGGAGCCTACAGGCTACAGTTGTAGCTTTCAACTTCAAGAAGCAAAGCGGAGGTCTGCTTTGAATGGCAAAGTTGTGATTACACTCCGATTGCTGATATTCCCGCACGAGTGATTGATACCGACAAGTATCAAGGTTGATGCTTGGAGGATCAACATCTGCTAAGCGCGTTCAGTTACAACAGACCTGTTACAATAGCTCTTTTAATCAGACCTAGAGCACCGCTGGTGGCTGGCTGCTCCGCTGTCTACTTCCCACAGTGCTGTTCGGTGAGAGCAGCAGCGGCTGCTGCGATGGCGGCGGACCAGTACACGCTGCGCTGCGAGCTGCGAGGCCATGAGGAGGATGTGAGCGCGCTGATCCTCTGCTCACACTCACTGGTGGTGCTGCCAATGCTGGACAGCAATTCTCGCTAAGCTGCACTTAATTCTCAGCAGCTGTGGCTTGATCTCAACGAGCAGTGCGTTGTTTCAGCCTTCCTGACTTGTCTGTACGACGTGCTTGTTCCAGGTGCGCGGCGTGTGCGTCATCTCTGAGTCCACCGTTGCAACTGGGTCCCGGGACAAGTCGGTGCGCGTGTGGTCCAGCGGGGAGGGTGGCGCCTTCGGGTTGAGCCAGACGCTGGTGGGCCACACCGACTTTGTGGGGCCTGTGCACTGGATCCCGCCTGGCGCGCAGTACGCTGCAGGGGCGCTGGTGTCGGGGAGCCGGGACACGCGCAGCCTCGTGTGGGACCTAGCGACCGCGACGCCCATTGCTGAGCTGGCGGGGCATGCGTACCAGGTGAGCGGGCGCGCACAGGGGGGCCACGCATTATGGGGTCCTGAATGATCTGTCAATTGACCTCCGGATTGAATCTGAGAAGTGTGAAGCTAGCTGGAGTCATGGGATAGTTTGAAAGGTGGTGGCTGTATTGGTGGCAAGTTTCGATCCAGTCAGCGAATGAGTGTTCTGTTATTGAGCTGGCGCCCCTCACCCACCCGCAGGCAGAGTTCTGTGGAACACAACATGCTTTTTCAAGAGTTTCAGAAAAAGCACGTATCCGTTGAATTATGGTGCCGATCGAAGCAAACCATCCCCGCTCTGAAACGGCGAGTTACTGATGGGAGGTACTCTTGCCATGATGTGGACTCTCCTCTCTTCTTGTGCAGGTGACTTCCCTGAACGTGACTGACATTGGCGACATTGTGTCTGGGTCCCTGGACAAGACGGCACGCGTGTGGCATGGCGCCAGCTGCGTGGCCACCTTGGAGGGGCACGAAGGCCCCGTCTTAGCGGTGCTGGCGCTGCCAGGGAGTGAGGCGGAGGGGGGCATTCTGACAGGGTCTGGGGACACACACATCAGGCTGTGGCGAGGGGGAAAGGTGGTGCACACGTATAGGTGAGGGAAGAGGAGCATAGGAGTGGGATAGAGGAGGGCAAGCGAAACGGATAGAGGAGGGAAAAGGAGCGCTGGACAGACAGGCCTTCAGAAACGTCTGGCTTGAGGGAGAAGTCTTGGAGAGATTGGAACAGCAGTAAAGAAGAATCGCCCGTCAAGTGAAAGAGGAGCTCAGGGCGCAGGGCCTAACTTGTCTTTGGCTGGTTACTCAGTATTGCCGAGTCTGAATGTTGACTAGACCCAGGCTCGGTCTCCTGTTTTCAAAAGCCTAGCAAGTAGTCCAATGACGAAGACATCTCCCCTCGCTTCTGCAGCGGTCACACCGACACTGTCCGCGGGCTGGCGCTGTTCCCTGGCGTGGGCTTCGTGTCTGCGTCCCACGACGGCACAGCGCGCGTGTGGGCGGTGAGCGGTGAGACGCTGCTGCACCTGGTGGGCCACACCGCGCTCGTCTACCGCGTTGCGGTACACCCCCCCTCCGGCCTCATTGCCACCGCCAGCGAGGACAGCACCGCGCGAATCTGGCGCGACGACGCGTGTGTGCAGACTCTGGAGCACCCGGGGTGCGTCTGGGACTGCGCGTTCCTGCCCAATGGGGACCTGCTCACCGCCTGCGCCGACGGCGTGGCGCGCATCTGGACAACGGCCGCAGAGCGGGCTGCGCCGGCTGAGGTGCAGGAGGCTCTGAGGAGCGTGGTGGCGGCGCGGGCGGCAGCGAGCAAGACGGTCGGGGGGGTGAAGGTGGAGGACCTGCCGGGGGTGGAGGCGCTGCAGGAGAGCGGCAAGAAGGAGGGGCAGACGCTGGTGGTGCGGGAGGGGGGGGTCGCAGTGGCCTACAGCTGGAGCGCCAAGGAGTACCAGTGGGAGAAGGTGAGCCGCCCAGCACGCCCTACGCGTAAATGGGAACATGGAGTCCTGCTTGCCAGCTACCTTCAGGATGCATTAATTGTGCCTGTTCCGCTAAAGCAGGAATCCGGATCTTCGCTTGGTTCCATGTGGAAACCTCCCTTTAGAGGCAACCTTCCTCGGATGTGACAACAAGTCGAGCTCCACGCAACATGTCGTCTGCAGTGACTTGGGCTGAGCGGCCCTGAAGCGACAAATGATGACTTGAACTTGCGTTGTGTCTACTGTTCCAACAACGGCGCCTCTTCGTGACTGCGGCTGTCGTTGCTGCAGGTGGGCGAGGTCGTGGATGGTCCTGACACGGTGTCCGCAGGCCGCCCCACGTTCGCGGGCACCGAGTACGACTTCGTATTTGACGTCGACATCGGGGATGGTGTGCCCCCGCGCAAGCTGCCCGTGAACGCCGACGACAACCCGTACACCGTGGCCGACCGCTGGCTGCTGGACAACGAGCTGCCCCTCGCTTACCGCGAGCAGATTGTGGACTTCATCATCAAGAACACGGGCGGCGCGCAGCCAATGCCCATGGAGGGCGTCATCGCCGACCCCTTCACCGGCGGCAACGCCTACGTCCCGCCCCCTGCCGGCGCAGCACGGACCCCAGCTGCTGCCGCGCCTCCCCCCCTGAACGCCGATCCTTTCACCGGCTCTGCCGCAACCCGTGGCGGGGCTGGCGCGTCGACGTCGGGTGCGACGGCGGGGCTGGTGCACGTGCCGAAGCGCGGGTACCTGGTGTTTGACAGCGCGCCGTGGGACAGCCTGGCCAAGAAGCTGCGCGAGTTCAGCGCAGGCCTGGCCGCGCAGCCAGACACGGCGCACCTCGCGCTCACCAGGCAGGATGACGCGCGGCTGCAGGTGAGATCTAGAGCCGCCGAAATCCGGAGTTTGTAGGTATTGTTGTCGTAGGAGACCAGAAGACAGGAAGTTATAGGAACGCGAACGAACTCTTGGTCTTACTCGGTTGCACAGAGCGTCTCACAGACAACCTTTTCATGTGATGGCACGACAACGCAGTAGGCCTTAGTAAATGTTACGGCGTGCACGGTTTATGCTGTGCAGAAGGGTCCAGCAATCCTGTCGCTTGACTGATGTCTACTCGCCCTTCTGGTGGCAGGCCATCGTGGAGACGCTGCAGGCGACGAGCCGGTACCACGCGTCCACCTTTGCCGCGGCGGACTACGCTCTGGTGGGCAAGCTGTGCTCGTGGCCCGCGCCGCAGCTCTTCCCCGCGCTGGACCTGCTGCGCATGCTGCTGCTGCACCCCGACGCCGCGCGCCACTACGCGGGGCCCGGTCAGACCGCGCTCTGGGCCGCGCTGCAGGCCGCCGCCAGCGGGGCGCCGCCGCTGCCCGCCAACCTGGTGACCGCCACCAGAACCGCCGTCAACACGTTCCGCCACAGCGCCCTGCAGGATTGGGCCGCCGCACATCAAACACAGGTATGCCGCCACAACACGTGCCACATAGTATGAGAGCGACTGAGGGGAAATTTGCGTGAGGTCGGCTATCAGAAGGACGTGCTTGATGTTTTCTCTTCGGCGTCGTTAGTTGTATGCAGACCTGTCTGCCTGTGACAAATACTGGGTGCGATGGTATTGTCACTGTTTGGGTGCGAGGGGGCTGTGGCGCTCGTTGCTGAGGCGGTTGGCGCGGGGTGCGGTGCAGGTGCTGGACTTGTTGGCCGACTGCGGGAGTGCTGGCGCCAGCAAGGGCGTGAAGCTGGGGTACGCCACGCTGCTGCTCAACTACGCGGTGCGCCTCACGGGCAGCGCCGCCGCGCAGGCGGACGAGGACGCGCAGCTGCAGACCTTGTCGGGGGCAGTGGAGCTGGCGGGCAACGCGCAGCAGGAGGCCGACCAGGAGGCGCTCTACCGCGCGCTGCTCGCAATAGGCACGCTGGTGAGGGGCGGCCTCCAGCAACCCGGGCAAGCGTACTCGTGCTCGCTTCTTCTCTTGCCCGCTTCTGCTGGTTGCTGGGTGTTGCTGGATGCAGTGAGGCATCCTGGTCATCAACAGCTGCTCAAAAGATACGGCTGTGTCGCAGGCGCGCCGACGGGGCTGAGGAGACTGGCTTACACTTGCTTAAAAGCCTCTTCCTCATTGCAGATTCTCAACGGGAAGGTCAAGCACGTGGCTCAAGATCTCGGGGTGGTCAAGCTAGCAGACGGCTGTCGCAAGTCGTCCGATAAAAAGCTTCAAGAAGTTGCTGCAGACATCACGAAGTTGCTGAGCTAGCGCGCACCTCGGGCATTTTCAACCTTCCATTGACATGGTATACTCCGATTCTTAGCATCATTAGCATCCTCCAAATTTCTCATCCTGGTGACGTTCTGATCTGCAATCTATCTTATATACGAGTCGATTCTTCCGACCCTCCTGGTTGAACGTGACGATTCATGCAGCGCAGGTTCTGCTTTGCCACTGATCTGGAGCATTTTTGACCATTGTTGAAAATTATGGTCCGATGTTTTTCGATCGCCGCGGGTTAGACGTACGCAGTATATATATGCATGGTCACTAGCTATACGTATGCACATGGTAGCTATACGTATGCAAATCTCAGTTGCACAACAATTATAATGATCTGAGATTATTGATTGTAAGATCACGCATATGTGTCGGATAAGTTGACCGTCCCGAATTTAATTCAACGACAGATATATGTACCGCCGCGCGTACGTTTACTTGAATATGATCAATTCCAAAATATCGACAAGTATCGAGACGGTTACATTCAAGGATCGCATGTCATCCGTGTTGCTTTTGAACTTTATATGAGCCTTGCTTGGATCGAGCCGTTAAGTTTGAAGCTTGATGAGTCACCGGCAATCTGACATGCAGGCCCGTCGAAATCGTCGGGAAAGGGCGCGGCCAACGCAGGCTGTGCTAGGCATGATCATGAAGCGAAGGCAATGCATCTGTTAAGCTAGGGCGTTCGATCTTGACCCTGAAAAGAGGAATTGTCATTGTCGCAAAATGTTATGACTTTGATACGCCGGCTTCTTCCGGAGTCTTGGTACTCAGTGAGAGCGCATGGAGACCGTTTGCAAACTCTTCTTGTAGCAGTTGGTAGACCGCTCTGTGTCGCTTGACCACGTTCATACCGTCAAACGCGTTTGAGACGATTTTGACGCTGCGAAACCATGCAAAGATCGCCGTCAGAGAGAGCATCCAACATCGATTTGGCACAAGTACCTGAATGCACGACAAGCCCAAGGCCGGCTAGACAAGGCAAGTGGACGCTTCATGTGTATGCCTTCAATTCTCTAGAAGAAGGGACTTTAAACTTTGGAAGAGTGGCCGAAGCATCCTCTACCTCCGAAAGGTATGGGTGCTGCGAGGATGGAGAACCACACGCGGATTTCGCCATGGAGAAGTGTGAACGAACTGCGTGGAAGCTCACTTGAAGTGCGTTTCCGAGGCCCCCTTGTGCACACCGGCGTGGCCAGCATGCTGATGGGACTCATCCTCGATCTCAAGGGCAACAGGAGAGAGACCCGCCTCCAACTGCGCAAGCAAATATGCGAAATTTACTCCCCAGACCTGGATTTGCCGAGTCTTCTGGTTTTACACATGCATTGCACATGTGCAGTTGAATCTCGGAATGTGGGTTTTTCGCTGCGGTGCTGTCATTCACAGGAAGGCGAAAAGAATAAGCGAATGTCAAGGGCAAGCTCGAGGCCAGCAGGGAGCCCATGCAGGCAGTTGGGACTGCTGCCTTCATAACCAGGGCAAGCCCAAGACAGCCCCTGTCCTCCTGCCCCTGCGAAAGACATGCTGCTCACCTTCTCCTTCATGCCTGTGTAGATGGGCCGCCCGTTGTTCCCGTTCACACTGTGGACTTGAGCTGCCCCGGTGGACCCGCCAGAACTGCTCCCTGACGGATCCTCCTTGCTTCCGTTCGAAGTGCCGGCAACCTCTGCATCTCCGCCACTTGGTTCAGCTGATTGCACCCCAGGCGACCCCCCTAATGAGGCGCTGCTGCTCTCTTCCAGTTTCCGGCGCTTCTCCTGCTCCATGAAGAGCGCCAGCGTCCTCTTCTGCATGAGCAGCAGCATGTTGAGAAAGCCGTTGTTGCGGCTGGGCGTCAGCTTCTGCGAGAGGCCCAGCAGCTGGATGAAGTCGGGCTGGATGCGCAGGATCTGAGAGGGGGTGGCGCCGCTCAGCCCCTCCACCAGCAGCGCCGCCAGGCCCTTGGTCAGCTGGCTGTCGCTGTCCGCCGCAAAGTACACCAGGCCGTCCTCGCCCAGCGACGGCTTCACCCACACCTGGGACACGCAGCCCACCACCTTGTTCTCCTGCACACAACGACAACCCAAATTGCACACGCAGCAGCAGCCGAGGTACCGGGGATCAACAATGCCAACAGGCGCCCGGAAGAAGGTGCCTTTTGCAGCAGAATCTGCACCTAGACTTGGCAATTGGACAACATATTGATCAGCACTTGGTTACAGACCGCAGACAGCTGACGTTTGTTTGCCCCCACCAGCGACAGCATTCTCAATTATGGAGAAAAGGAAAAGCATCTGCAACAGAGCGGTGGTTGTGCGGACCTGCACATGATACTCTGGTGCCAGAGGCTTCAACTTGCTTGCATAGTAGAGCAGTTGCTTGTAGCGTTGCGTGGCATCTGGCACCATTTGAAATCCTTTCACGATCTTTTGCAGGTTCTCAGGCAGCTCTTCAACAGAGCAGGTGGTCCGGCTCCCTGTGCTGGCCCCCACAGCAGGCAATGCTGTTGCGCGGTTGATGAAAACACTTTTTAACAAGCATCCACTATCTGCAATACATGTCTGCCCCGCCAACCGCCCAAGGTCAAGCTTCTGCTTATGTCTCCTGCCTGTTGCTGGCCTCCAGCGAAACCCTGCAGTTTTAAGGAGGCCAGCTGCAGATGAGCTTGTGAAGCAGGGCGCCCTCCAATCGGAGCTGGCCCTGTTGAATGTTTGCCGCCCGCCATACGGACTTTCAAGACGCACTGCTGCCCCACAACGAGCTGACATGACTGTCTCCATGTTCAAGAACTTCTTCTACAGAAGATCCCTCACACGCCTTTACCACCACGAGACCACCAGTAGTAGCGCCACTATGTACTAGTAGAGCGCGCCCCTGATGAAGCGCCTGCACGAAGCGTGTCAACATTTGGAAGTGTAGGATAGCTATGGCCCTGGCCCTGGGACTTTAAGTTGCATGAATGCAAGTTGAAGTGAAGTTCTCTTTGTCTGTGAACACAAGACTTCGAAAACCCTGCTGAATTTGCGCGAGCGAGCTAGCGCAGCCCCTTTGAACGAATGAGAGAGCTTTCGCCGACCACGTGGTCCAGGAAGTACAGCTGTATTCCATAGATCGAATTGCAATTTGCAGCTAGAATCTTTCTCTAACTTACGGCCTTTTCACAAGAGACCGGAGTTTGACCGGAGTTCAAACTCAGGTCGTTCATTAACAATTTTGCGACCGGAGTTTGTGCCACGTCGGATTTCCAAACTCCGGTCGAACTCCGGTCAAACTCCGGCTAGGGGCAAAAAACTCCGGAGGCCTCTGAGTTCGACCGGAGTTTGCCGGAGGTAAAACTCGCACGCTGATTGGCTCGCGGATTGTGGCGCCTGCCACCGTGGCGAAAATTGGAGGTCAGGTACATGTAACAGTACAAACCTTGTACAGATTGAGTACCTTTTTCCGCCAGGCCGGAAAAACTCGGCCCGACCGGTTTCACAGCGCCGGAGTTTGATCGACTGCAACTTTCATTGCCCATGTGGGAGTGACCTGGACAAGTACCTGACTTTGGTTGGGTGAAAGGCTGCCTCCCTGGCATCTTGAAACTCCGGTCGAACCCCGGTTGAACTCCGGTCAAACTCCGGTTTCTCCCTTGTGAAAAGGCCGTCAGTGCCAAATCGATGAAGCTTGTCCTGTTCTGCCATTGATTGTCTGCTACCTTGGAGCAGATCTGAGGCGGAAAACAAAGGCAGAGCCTTTCAGAACGTCGTGCTATTGAACCTGTTTTGCTGGCATTGCCAGGTGCTCGGGTGGTGTGACCAGATCAGAACGCGGGTTGCATCTCAGGTATGTTCACCAGGAGCTGACTTCCTTTCAGAAGCTGCAGCTGCTGGATCATGTTATGCGTGTAAACATCTGCAACCCTGCCTTACTGGCATTGCATGTGCCATTCGTTCCCGACCCTTCTTGGTCTGAACAGGGAATACTGTGAGCAACCTTGTCTGGTTTGTGTTGAACGAAACTGGCAGTGAGATGGTGATAGTATGCTAAATACTCACCAACAAAAGTAGCGTCCAGATCTCAGTCATACGTGCGTACTCCATTCCACCCCCAGAATCAACAGAGGTTGAAGCGGCAATGTGCACTATCCTTGGCAACCATCAGATGTCAGTGGCGGCATCTGTTTGGGGCTGTTGTTGAAATTCCTGTTGAAAGCGCTAAGATCTTAAGCTTTCTTTAGTAGCCTAAGCCACAAGTCAATGTGTTCCTTTGGCTTTGCTTCGTTTTAACGGCGTGACCATTCGTTATCCGTTTCCTGTTGTTTGTTGGAGGGACGGCAGCGGCCGAGCGCTTTTCGCCAGAAAGTGTATCACAATGGGCATCTTCCAGCTTATTTGTGGAGACATCAACATTTGGAAGGTTATGCAGATTACAAGCTTTGATTGATCTGATACTAAATGTGTGGTGCCTAGTTCGAAACGACATCGGTTTGCAGTGACCGCCGCAGCTTCGCTTAGTCCACATTGATTCTGAACGTGTAGCCAGTTTTTCTCACTGCGCTCCTTTCAGGTGCCACCATGACGTCCTGCTCCGTGGTTGTTGGGGCTGCCCGCTGCCCCTGCTCCTCTCTGGTCGCGTCCCCCTCATCTTCAGCAAGAGCCGTGGCGGCTGCTGTGGCCCTCCCCCCTTGCCGGGCTGCCCTGCCCTTGTTCAGCGGGCTGCGCCGCGCAGCAGACCAGGTCTCCGCCCGCCCCCTCTCCCAGGATGTTCGCCTGGCCCCCCGCGCCGCACGCTTCACCATGTCCGCAGCAGGAGTGACCACCATCGCACAGCCAGAGGGCTTTGAGGTGAGCGCCCGCACCGCTGGCCCCAGAAGGCATCAACAAATGTACCTGAATCTAATCATCGGCAATAGTTTTGGGTGTGTTTATTATCTGGTACCATGCGAAGCGGCAGGAATCCTGTTCTAGCCTGCGGTGGGCAGGAGCTGACCTGTGTCCTGCGCATGAATGCAGGTGACCACGGTGCCCACCTCGCCCATCGACGGCCAGAAGACCGGGACCAGCGGCCTGCGCAAGAAGGTGAGGCACCGCGGCCAAGGGGACCACCAGGGCACCGGTTGGAGCCGACCACCGCCAAAAGCGTTTCTACTTGGAGCGACACTTTGCTTGCGAGGAACCGCACTGCTTTCGCAGTGACGTGGTCTTTTCTCTGCCACTTTGGCGCCTGTGCAAATGCCCCCGTCGTCTGTTGGCGGGTGGCTGCCAGCCTGCCAGGCCACCGGTTGCATTGCTGGTGACGAGGGTGGGGCAGTCAGCAGGCTGCAAGGCCGTCCACTGACTCTTCCAGCCTTTCCCCGCTGGCTGTTGCCCTGCTGTGCCTGCGACTGCAGCCTGACTGATCTGGTGTGCCCCTGCTGTGCCCCAGGTTGCTGTCTTCCAGCAGGAGAACTATCTGGCCAACTGGATCCAGGTAAGCTAATGCTGTGCTGTGATGCAGGCGATGCAGGCATATCTAGGCTCAGTGCCGTTCTGTTGTCAGCATCTAACCTAAAACTGGCAACCGCCTCAACAGTGAATCAAGCCCATTGTTACAGTCTCGACACCATGCCTGCTGTGCCTCTGTCCGTTCAAGCTTCCCTCGTGTCATTCTGAAGCATCGTGCTGGCATGTCTGGCGCAGTCGCTGTTCAACACCCTGCCCGTTGAAGAGCTGGCGGGCAGCACGCTGGTGCTCGGAGGGGACGGCCGCTACTTCAACAAGGAAGCCTCCCAGGTGGGCGTCACCACCACGACCACAGTCAAAGACTACCTGCGCAACACAGCGCCTCCCATTCAAAGCCGTCATGAGAAGCTTCAAGTGCCTTCGACTCAGGACTTCAAGTGCCTATTATTCTTCCTTGGCGGCCTCTTATCTGGGTGATTGTTGTCTGTTGTGTGTGCAGACCATCATCAAGATTGCGGCTGGCAACGGGGTGGCCAAGGTCCTGGTGGGCAAGTGAGTGTGGGGTGTACCCATGCACACGCTTTGTGACGGACACGCACTCGCCCTGTCCTGCTGGCTGACAGGCGCCACCCCTTGCTGCTTCTCTGTGGACCACTGCGCAGACAGGTCGCCCATTGTCCTGCTGGCTCCTGCTCGCTCTCACGCGGCTGCCCCTGGCGTGCAGGGACGGCATCATCTCCACACCCGCCGTGTCTGCCATCATCCGCAAGAGGAAGGTGGGGCCCCCTCTGCTCCTTCAAGCTGCATGCCTCGATCTACACCCTCGATACCCGCCTCCGTGAGAACCTGCGTTCACCCCACCTTCTGCCTGCTCGAGTTCTGCGTGTGTCCTCTCCTGCCCAGGCTGACGGGCTTTGGTGGCGCTGCGTGCAGACCTTCGGTGGCCTCATCATGAGCGCCAGCCACAACCCTGGAGGCCCCAAGTACGACTGGGGGATCAAGGTGAGCCGCCCCTTGCCGGGCTCGCCGGGCCCGCAGGCACCACCGACAGCATGGCCGTCACATCCAGCCTCGTCAGGATAGGCTGTCAGGACGCGCTGCACGCGCTGGCTGCAGTGAAGGAAGGCAAGAGGAGAAGGGCTGGCAGGGTGTAGACTACGAGGTCAATTGCAGAATGACGAGTGGTTTTTTGTGTGGTGGTGCAGTTCAACTTCAAGAGCGGCGAGCCTGCCCCTGAGAGCATCACCGACAAGATCTACGACCAGACGCAGACGGTGAGCGCACTCAGCCTGCCCCCCTCAGAACATAACACAGCTTGCCTTGATCTAACTAATGATGCTCGTGCCATCGACTCCGCTTCTGTTTCCGGAAAAGAGACTCAAGGGTCTTCTGCTTGCCTCCTCGTTGGGCGCGACAGAGGCACCCCTAACTGTTGCCCGACCTTGTGGGGTGGCAGATCAAGACCATCCGGCGCGCTTCCATCCCTGACGTGGACCTGTCCCGCCTGGGCGCCACCCGCCACGGCAGCTTCACCGTGGAGGTCGTCGACCCCGTCGCCGACTACCTCGAGCTGCTCCAGGTGCGCACACCCCGCGCTCGCTGCCTCTCGTTGTCCACGCTCGCTGCCTTGTGTACCACCCGGCATCGTACAATTTCGTGCTGAAACCTCACCATGGCATGGCTCACGCCGTGCATGCCTGGCTGCAGGAGGTGTTTGACTTCCAGCTGCTGCGCGGCCTGCTCTCCCGCCCTGACTTCCGGTGAGTGCCACCAAGCCCTCCAGCGAGGGATTGTGGTACAGCCAGAAGCGCAGAGATGCTCGTTACGGGGCACCTCAGAAGACTGTGCTGTTTGTAAAGCGAGTAGTGACGTACTCGCTTGCAACTCGCACCTTCGGCAGGAGGCCACCTCGCATGTGCCCTGGCCCAATGGCTGATTTTGCGCCACGTCTGGCTGACGTTGCAGGTTCAAGTTCGATGCGATGCACGCTGTCACGGGCGCGTATGCCAAGCGCGTCTTTGTGGACGCCCTGGGAGCGCCGCTGGTGAGCAGTCACCAACGCTGCGGTGCCATGCACGCCCAGCGAGAAGAAGCAACCGACCTTCGGATGAGGATTGGTCAAAATAAGTCTCGTTGTAGTTGCTCTTTCGTCCTTGCGACTAAGGCTGACATGACCTCTCCCGAAGACATATGAGTCACGGCATGGTGAGTACGAAGACAACAGGCCAGCAAGCTTGAAGCCAGTTGTCAGCTTTGCAGCCCGTGCTCGGGTCCCCGTTTGCGCTTACCCCTGTTGGCTGGCTGTGGCGTGCAGGAGTCGCTGGTGAACGACACCCCGCTGGAGGACTTCGGGGGCGGCCATCCGGACCCCAACCTCACGTGAGCCGCTTGCGCACACGCTGCCCGCCCGGATTGCGCTGACGCTTGATTTGCTATGCTGTGAGCTTGGAGTGGAGGGGTTTTGTCTTGGCTGTGGGGGAGCTTTGATCACTGCGTGGTTGACGCGGCGTGCTGGTGGGTGCAGCTATGCGCACGACCTGGTGGAGACCATGTTTGTTGCGGACGGCCCCGACTTTGGGGCGGCCAGCGACGGTGAGAACACGCCCTGTGTGCCGCGGCAAGGCTGCTCCTCGAGCAGCGCATAAGGCCGCACACGCAACCTTCTCCAGTGTATCAGGTGCAAGAAGTCAGACCGTGCGAAGGTGAATTGGCTTGAAGCTGCCTACTCTGATCATGACAAGAGGGGCTCTCGCTTCGTCTCTTCTCCCAGCGCCGTGCCACTTGTGCGCTGACTGTCGCATCAGCTGCGGTGCTGCTGCAGGTGACGGCGACCGCAACATGATCCTGGGCCGCAACTTCTTCATCACCCCCTCCGACTCGGTCGCCATGATTGCTGCCAACGCGCAGGAGACCATCCCCTACTTCAAGAGCGGCATCAAGGTCAGCCCGGCCGCCTTACTGCAAAATACCGCATTGTTGGGTTCTGATCAGGGAGGGCCCCTCGCGGCTAACCCCCAGCCCCGAAGGAAGAGTTGCTGTCGAATATGCTGCTGCGATCCTGAAGGCAGCTGACTGCGGTCGCCTAGCGAGTCCCGTAGTCATCAGAGTGCCCGCGCTTGTGGTCCGGCCCGTTGCCCGCTGCGGCCCGCGCTCGAAGCTGACCCACGGCTGTGCGCCTGCTTGCAGGGCCTGGCCCGCTCCATGCCCACGAGCGCGGCGCTGGACCGCGTGGCGAACAAGCTGGACCTGCAGTTCTTCGAGGTGCCCACCGGGTGGAAGTTCTTCGGCAACCTGATGGACGCCGGCAAGCTGTCCATCTGCGGCGAGGAGAGCTTCGGCACCGGCAGCGACCACATCCGCGAGAAGGACGGCATCTGGTCAGTGCCGCGCCGCGCATGTGTTGCAGTAAACAACGCTTTCCGCATCTGTCCATTCCAGGGCCCCTGCCTCTTCTATTGCGCTGCTCCTGTCCGTTCCGCCGCCAGCCGGGTGCATCTCTCACGGCGGTGCGGCGCGTGCTCGCATGCAGGGCCGTCCTGGCGTGGCTGAGCATCCTGGCGGCGCGCAACGCGGAGGTGGCGGTGGGGCAGCCGCTGGTGTCGGTGGCGGACATTGCGCAGCAGCACTGGGCCACCTACGGCCGCAACTTCTTCAGCCGCTACGACTACGAGGTCAGCCCGGCCACTGACTCCTCTGTGTCAACAAGTGGCGGACTGCGCCGCACATGGTGCAGCTGCTGCCAAGTTGGGTCGATCCTTGCTTCGGCTGTGCACTGGGGGCCAGGTGTCGCGCTGTTGCACTACTGTGCTGAAGGGCCTTGTGTGGCGCTGTGCAGGAGTGCGAGTCGCAGGGCGCCAACGCGCTGTTCGACAACCTGCGCGCCACCGTGGCCAAGGCCAAGAAGGGTGACGCCTACGGTGAGCACTGCGCCAGCTTCCTGGGGTTGCCCCGCTGCCCTTCCACTGCTGAGATCGGGAGCGGCTCTGGTGGCTGTGCTGCTGCGGCTTGTTGTTGACTGTGCCGAGTGCGGGCGGTGTGCTGACGGCGTGTGCTGCGTGCTGGGCAGGGGCCTACACGCTCGACTTTGCGGACGAGTACTCGTACACCGACCCGGTGAGGAGCATTCTCCTGCGTGCCGCCTGTACGGCCAGACTGCAAGCTTGGCTGGCCGCCATGCAGTGCGTATAGAGGGAAGTCGAACCAGCGTGATCTCTCTGGCGACCTGGGAATGAGGGCACCGTTGTCTGCATGCTCCTCTTCTTGACGGTGTGCCCGCTGCGCCTGAGAGTGGTGCGGCGGTGGCGTGCAGGTGGACGGCAGCGTGGCGGCCAAGCAGGGCATCCGCTTCGTGTTCCAGGACGGCTCGCGCATCATCTTCAGAATCTCGGTGAGAAAGCACCCCACTAGGCCACCCCCTGCCGCACACAGTCTCGAGCCGTGTCACGCACGGGCCCTAGCCCCTGTTCTGAGATCCGCTGCCGCTGCTGCGATGCTGCCCGTGTGAGCCTGCACTGAGCGGGGCGGGGTGTGCAGGGCACGGGGTCGGCGGGGGCGACGGTGCGGCTGTACGTGGAGCAGTACGAGCCGGACAAGAGCAGGCACATGGAGGACGCACAGCAGGCGCTCAAGCCCCTCATCGGTGAGCCGCGCACACCAGCACAGGCAGCGGGCAGGATAGGCGGACCAACCTGGTTGAACTGGCTGCTCTGTTGTGTCATATCATGCAATCTGTTTCTTTGCCAAGAAAGATATCGGTGCGTGCATGCTCTCTTCTGGATGCTCGTGAGTTTTGAAATCCCAGGCGACGGATTGACCAAGTGACTCTTTCTTCCTGGGTGACCAGATGTTGCCCTCAATTTGTCCAAGCTTCAAGAGTTCACCGGTAGAGACAAGCCAACCGTGATTACGTAAGACCTTGTCCTGTAAGCAACAGTACGGTACGTGCCAGGTAGTTCCGAAATGCCGGATGTCTATAGACGGAGTAATGAGTTGATACAGAGGAGGATGCAGTTTTGTTCTCAGGGTGAGGAATGCAGTGGCTTGTGGCTAGGGAATTCAACCGCTATATGCTCATGCGAGTTTACATTAAGTAACTAATCAACGTGGTCATTGTTGGCAAACCGGTCACTGAGTGAGTCCAAAGCCTGGACTCTGACCATATATACTTACCGGTAATTGGATATTTCAACTTGAAAGCTCCGTCGGACCCGACGTACTCCGGCGCTCGTCCATCATATTTACTTGCACTATTTGATAGTATGCTGGCATCTGTAAACATACCCTGTCGGACATTAATGCATACATGCCAATAAGTACGTAGAAAATCTGGCATTGCACCACATGCATGGCATACGTACTTGATGCAATGATGTATGTGGTGCAGACTCGCCACATGGCACAGCGGTCGGCCGGCCGGATTCGATCGTGACGTACGTACCGGATTGAGATGGTCGACTTTAACTCATGCTTGACATACTATATACTGCGCATGCATGGCCAGATGTAGTGACCACGATTAGAAAGCTGTATGAACCATGGTTATTTATAAGCTATATATAGATGAATTATATTAATATGTCGAACTGAGTCATGCACGATTGCATCCGTGTCATGTGCAGGCTGAGATTGAAGGCGCTGAGAATTACTCGATCGAATGCAGCCGTAGTAAGCTGCAGTGTCAACGAACAAACTATCTGAGTTTGGTAATTAAAGAGTGACTAAATACTAAACAGCGCCCGGCGGCCGGGTGCCACCATGATTACGGTGCGATAAATAAATTGACTATGTGCATGCAGTGCATTCATGCTGCATTGCTGCAATGATGATGGCTTATAAGGTTTCGCGTCGACCGAAATGGCTGAGCGCTCATCTCCGGTCCTCCGGACCAATGAGAACGCTTCAAGCGATCGATCACGTGGCATGAGAAGTACAGACCTCAGGCCTGGTACAGAATTTTGCTAGAGAGGCAGTGTACAAATTTGTACGCGGATCGGAGATGCAAAGCTTGACAAGTTGTGAGCCCAGCAGTTTTTGGTCGACGCGGAACCTAACTTATATAGCGCGGCATCATCCGCCGCCGAGAATCTGTCAATCGCGATCAGACTCATCATCATTGCAATCAAATTAATCGTAAGTTAATTGCAACATTTGCATGCCATCTAGCTAGCTGCCAAAATTTGGTCGATGCAAAATTTGCATGCAGCCTTTCAAACTTGAACAAGTTAGGCTTGCATGCAAAAACAACTTGAAACAGTTAACTATTTGCAATCGCGAACGGCTCATGCATTATTTACAGTTATAGCAGGCAACAACCCTAACTTGAACCCAAAGCTCAAAGTAACATTTCAATGGTTGCAACCAATTAACATGCCATTTAACTATGTTCTTCACGCATCTTTTCGATCCGGCCTTTCTCAATTGAAGTTGAACTTAATTAAGCAATTTTAATGTACTATCATATAACATATTGGGTCGATTATGTTTTCATCGAGTCTGTGACGGTTGGACAGGGTCACACGCTGCCTGTCTACTTCACATGTGCGG